GATAAAACCTGAGAGCAGAGGTACATGCTCCTGGAATTTAGAAGCGAATAAAGGCACAGAATGAGATTTCCCCTTTAAGACAAAGTCCCTAGAGTTAAAGATTACGCCACAATAATGCACTGTAAGTCAAAAGGGCTGGAAATTATAAATTGCAAGTTTGGATGATTCATGCTGCTTGGCAGAGTCCAAAGCTTTGAGGGTAAATTGAAAATATCCTGTTGCAGCTGGATTTATAAAAACCTCTGGGCCAAATGCTGATTCCACCAATATCAATGACAAAGCCTGCAGATTTCGCTGGAAACAAGATGGCACAGCTGTGTGAAAAACGATGTACTCAGCTACATGGCCTGGTTTGTGTGTGAGCAGACTGCAGTGTTATTCAAGCTCAACAGATGACTTTTAAGGGCACAGTTGTATACAACTCTCCCCCTTATAAAATGTGGGTCATTATACATTCTTAGAGTAGTTTACATTTACAAGATGTAAAGCATAATGTAAGTAGTCTGTTTAAATGAATAAGCTTGATATCTGGTAGTGCTCAGCATCTTTCCTGCTGTTCAAGTCAATGTAAATTATGGATGTTCTGATTAAATTACTTTTGAATTAACCAGACCATTTACTCAATGCTTACTTTCTCTCTGAAGATAAATGAGAGAGATTCTCATTTTAATCAAAACAAAATACAGAAAAGAAAATCAATTACTATTTAATGTTTTTTCCATCGCTGTGTGATGGAAAGTTTCCAGAGGAACTTGGGCTTAAAATGAAAAAACAATATAAAATGCAGGAATATGGTTGGATTTTAACTACTGGATTTTTTTTTTTTTACACTATCAGAAAATATGGCAGTGTGTGGGTTTTAAAAAAGGCAGAATACTTACTCTAAACAATTAATTAAGCAAAACCAGGATACAGTAGATTGCTTTGTATAATAAATAAAAATCTGTGGATACAGATGTAAAACACCTCCAAGCCAAACATTAAAAAAGACCAGCCGACCCTATATATAGAACAGTGTGAATTTGCTGAATTCATTAATGAATAACTTCATGGATTAGGCCTTGATAGACAGAGTGCTCACATCCAGATGTTCACTGTGATTCGTCAATGGCCTTGTACTTAATCCTCCTGAACAGGAAATAAGAGTCTTTTCTCTGGGGTCTCCCTTGAGGACTGTGGCAGTCTCTCTCTCTGGCCTGAATCACCTCAACACAGGATCAGGCTGCTGGGGAATTAACCAAGTGGAGGAAGCACGGATTTGCCTTTAACCCCTTCGGTTTCTTCTCGGTTTCAGATGGCTTCCTTGCCATCTGCCATGAAGGGAATGTCATTTAGTCAACACATGGCAAAGAAAAAAGATAGTCACCCATGTTATCCGTGAGGCATGTCCGTGGGGTCCCTGTCCCCACAAAATGTGCCAAAGCAGACACGTCTATTCCACCATCACTGAGGGGGAGGGTTGTGGGCAGATTAAGCCTGTCGAGGCGGGTGTATGTCTCTCCACGTCTCAGCATCGTATTTTTATTTCAGTGAGGCTGAAGCTGCACAGCCACTGTCAGTGATAGGGGTGGACCAAGAGGGAGTATTTGTGAAAAGACTGGATGTCCCCAAGGTGTCTGTAGTCAGGTAGCACATGTAGTTTGTGTGTACATGTGCGTGTGTATGGGTAGATGAATGCAGCCTCTGCAGAAAACCTCCATTTCTCATTTCTCAACATGCAAGACCCCCACATAGGATGGGTCACTCATTTCACTGTGTGGGAGTGTCCCACCAAACGACAGCTCCCAGCAGCCACACCGCTGACCCTCCTGCTACCTAATGGCATGGATTGGGTGCTGCTTATCAGGCCATGATGGCTTGGATCAGCCAGTTGCATCTGTCCCAGTACCCAAGAGCAGGGGGAGGCCAATGCAAAGCTGGCAAATGCTGCAAATGCAGCAGAAGACGAGGGGCAGTTACAGAAGTCACGTATGTGGTGCACACTGATTACACATCTCTGAGCATTGGCATGTATTATTCATGTCCCCAGCGTGATGGCTGTACAGGGCATAAGGATATGATCCTTCTTTTCTCCCCATGGAAGTATTGGTCTGGTAGCATTGGGGATGCAGACCTGCCTTTAGGTAAAAGATGAGGTCTCTAGCTTGGACAGTTTCTTCTTCTGCAAAGCTTGTACGAGTCTTTTACAGGTCTTACCTGGTAAAGTATGGAATCTCAAAAGAATCACGTGTAGGCAGCCCCTTGATGCTGCCTAACCAGGGGAGTCTCATTTACTAGCCACCTGCCTCAGGAGGAAACCTGCAAATGAGGCTGCAGGATAAGCCACTAATGGTGCTGTGCGGACCAGATGGGGGGAAGAAAGCCACATCCCAGTCACAGGGGATGACAAAAGCCATTATAACTGGATTAGAAGAACTGTGTGGCAGCAGGAGCTGGAGAGAATGGTGAGTTTTGACATGGCTGTGCTGGAGTGTATGGGACTGACTGCATGTGTGCATGTGCTCAGGGCAGAAAATACTTTTTTGCTATATCACAAGTATGGAGACCAATAAATTCTTTGTCAAGGAGTGCCTGGCTAAAACATCAGTGGTGCATCTCAGCACTTGATATGTCCCACTATTCTGTGTGTCATCCTTTCTCTCCAGTACCTTGGCTTTCTGCTGGTAGGACTGCTCTTCAAGAAAGTGTTCAGAGTCTCTTCATCACACTCAAAAAATCAAGGATGCTGCATAAGGATTGCCCTTTAAAATTCCCTGCTTGGAGGAGATGTGTCTTCCCCTTTAACATCATCCTCCCACTTTGTCTTCATCCTTTTCTCCCCTCTTCCTTTGTACCCACATATACAGACATCATACTAGATTCTCAGAATTGTTAAAGCTGCAAAGAAAGTAGTTATATTCTACTCAAACACTATACAGAGCAGCTGTATTTTCCTGCTATATCAATTAATAATGTACATTTTCTCCATAGGGTTTTCAGTGAGGCTTTCAGCAAGATGAATGTGGGCAAGTCTGTCTTTTTCTCTGCACTTTAGCATAATCCCATCTGCCTGCAAATTCAGGATGTGAACACTGCAACACAACATTCAGAAGGGCTAGAAACTTGGGGGTTTAATCAAGGGAGAATTTAAATTCAGCATAATCTCTTCCAGGCATCAGAGAAGTGCTGCTCCCTGTTGTTGATGAAGGAATGGCGGAGTGGATGCAACCGTTTGAAAGGCAGCAAGTTTCCCAGCCCTCTGTACGCTTTCCTCCCCTCTGCATGGTGCCTCACCGGCCGCCCCCCTAGGCTGTGTCCCCAGAAGGCAGGCTGCCACAGCCCCGCGCGCCCTTACTGCGCAGGGGAGTCTTTTAAAGTGCTTCCAGGAGTGGGAACTGAAGTGTAGGAACAGGGTTGAGAATGGATGTGGTTTTTTTATGAGGGGTGCTTGAAAGGGTCGAGGCGGGGGGTGGGGGAAGATCCATGATTCTTAGCACGTGTGTGTCCTTCTAGAGGGCTGGGGTTTGTCCTGTGGAGACTCGTCTAATGCAATGACAGGTCACAGAAACGCAGGGTGGTTGCAAGCAAAGGCTAAATGTAACCCCTGTGGGAGGAGGTCCCTGGAAGGGGGTTTTGCAGGATGGGGAGAAGGGGGTGTGTGTTCAAACGCATGCAGGAACGGCAGGCTGAATGAAAAATGTACAGAGGTGAGGGAGCAGGCACAGGTGCCGGCAGCTCGCCTGTTTTGTGTTGCGTTACTGGTTGTATTCTCACGCAGATGAAAGCGCCGCTGAGCATCTGTGGATGCCTTTGACTAGCCCTGTGGAAGGGACATATTCACTGAGCGGACTCCAAAGGCGTTTGTTGTGATAGCCAGGTGCCACAGTTCCTGGGGTGCAAGTTATTGATTTTGACTGGCACTGCCTCCGGGAGGTCTATAGAACTTGTCTAGGGATGCTTCCTCTTGAAATAAATTATTATTCCTGAGGCAAGGTTTGGAGGGAGAACATCTTGTGTTAGAGGAGCTGACAGAGCTGGAAAACCAGACTAATTCTCCAGTGTGCAAGCCCTTCCTCTGGTTATAATCTCTGACATGCACTGGTTACTTGTTAGGGTGCTCAGGTGCGTCTGTATTTATTGCAGAGTTTGCTAGTCCCAAAGGGCATTATACTACATTTTGCAGATTCGACACATGATTCTGTTAAAGGACTGCTCCTGTAAATCAAAGTACCATTATTTTCAAAGGGCTGCTCTAGAAAATCTACCTGTCATTTCGCTTCTAGGAACCTCTTACGTGAAGTGTTCCTTTGCGTCACCAGCACAGTGATTCTGTGCTCAGTTCTCAGAGGTAAATTACAGAACATGACCATGTCATGGGCGAATCATCACTTAGAGTAATCATTTGATATAATTATGGTTTTCTATTTTGGCACTGTTTTTAATATCTTTGGGCATATTTCATACAGAGAAGTAATGTTTTAACTTAAGTGAAAACCCACTAATCCTTGTGAATCTAGGTATACTATTCGGTGGAGCTAGGAGTGCTACCACAAGGATTCGGTAGACGTGCCACTGCAGTGATGCCAGCTGGAATGCAAAATGCTTTTTCACTTAATTTAATATTTTCTGTACTTGAATTTGGTAGAAACCCTGAAACTTCACAAGAGTGGAGTGGTATATATACCATTTAATCCTACATACGTATATGTATACATATTTAGTATATTCCACTCTAGTCCTTGAATAGAATAGATGAGCTCACGGTTTGAATACAAGATCTTAGCATTGATTGTATTACTGAACTGTAATTGAACTTATTGTGTAAAGCTGCTTCAATTCATTTTCTCTAATAAAATGTGCATCTACTGAAACGTATCAGACTTGTCTGTGGGCTTAAGAATGCATCAAAGGGAAAGCACGGTCCCGGTTTGCAAACGCTAACACGAAGGTAGCCTGGTAGAAATGTTGTCGTCTGTTGGCTTCGGGAGCACCTTTTGGAGCTGCACCAATTCCATGATAAACTGGGGGGGGAGGAAGGGGGAGAGCAAAGCAAAGAGAAAAAAAACAAACAATTTCTTCCTTTGTTCTCATTGTACTGTGTGTGGGGGCGGGGGGGGGGCACACGCCAACAGGCGCCAGGAATCCCCGGGGCTTCGATTATGATTTTCATTATAGGTGAGTGGGGGTTTACAGTCAGCGCCCTCCCTCCCTTCAATCCCTTTAGCGAGTAATCCACGCGTGGGGGCCGCACCCTAATCCCCTGCTTGCGGCGGCGGGC